ACTTAATTTATTTAATAATTTTTAGGACTTGATTTTATTTTTTCAATCTGTATCCACAAAATAAACTACCTCATCTCTATACTCCCTAATACATTTGATGACATTTAATAAACAAAAAAATAAACAAAACTTACCATGTGAAACCAATAATTGACGTGATATATCACAAGGGCGAACACCACAAAGCGCGAGTTCCACAATTCTTCTGCGTACATAATCTGGTAGTGGTCGCCCATTGACAAAAACGCCACCCAGTTGATTAACACCAGCTTGCCCTGAGAATAGAAAAAAAAAACAAAGAATGAAGTTATTGCAAATACTAACATTTAAAATAAAGCGTAAATGTGGTCTATAATAAGACATTCCAGAAAGGGAAATTTGAATATAAAACTTTAAAAATGCTTGAGAATATTCTAAGAACTGTCTTATTACTACTTATAAATTATATTCCCTTTGCAACAATTGATCATAATGCTTAAAAATAAGAGGAAATTAGTTTTAAATTATATTCCCCAGCCACATTGATCATTGTGTTATTTTATAATAGATAAGCTACTAAATACTTTTAATGGAAAGGACCTAAACGTTTCGATATATGTTAACTATAAAGTCAGCATAATTGGAATTTCAAGAATATAACTCAAAAACCATTTACCCAGATTGTTGGAAGAAAGAATATCATTTCAGTAAATATAGTTTATTTTATATAGACTCCCATTGTTTTTACAATAATGTGTAATCATGAAAATATAGTATTAAGTTCTTAAGCAATTATACATTTTATCATTCCGAGACACCTAGTATCACGGCATTAAATATATAGACTAGAATTCATGTAAGATGAAAATTATATATAATAACGCTAGTATGTAATAAGCATAGTATTACATTGACTATAAAAACATCTAGCTTATGTATTATATATCGAATCAAATAATACATATTTATATATATATATATATATATTTTTTTTTTTTTTTTATACAATATATATACGATACACAATATTACAAATTATACTGACACCTGAATTAATACTTCCTGCATTTTTTGTATATTGATCTAACCTGCAACTCCTATAGCGATTATATATTTTTTGATAGCTATTGTTTCATATCTTTCATCGAAATATAATAGCAATTTTGACGTCAGGATCAGAACAAAGTCAAAGTCACGGAGTCACGTTGATTACATGACTTTGCGTCATCACAATACGCTTAAAAGTATAATTACAAAAAAAGGTGTTGTGAATAGACTGGGTAATACGAATAGGTTGGGCTGAAGTCTTGCATGGTAATACAAGGCAGTGCTACCAATTTACAAATAAAAATTATGGTGGCAACTTTCACATTTATAAATTCAAGACGCCTCTTGCACAGAATGTGATTTCTCAAAAAATTATTATCTTAAGTAATCGTAATTTAAAACACAGTAATATTGCAAACTTTAATGGCACAACCAATTTAGTGTCATTAATTAATAGTTAAAATACTAAATTATATGGTTTCTTTCATTACTAGGTGTATATATTACATGCGGTAAGATTACTATGCAGTAAGAGTCGTGAGTAGATGAAATTTATTAGTAACTAATATTAACCTACTCATATTTTACTCAATTACATTACGAATGAGTACGCTAGTATCTTTCATTTTATAATAATTAATTTTTGAAAAGTTCGGCAATAATACACTAATATAACAGTAAAAAGTTTTTAATATTCGCCATGAAGATCGTGTAAGGCATTTAACACTTTTGACCTCATCCTAAAAGTTGTAATTTTTGGTTCATTTTTATTTTTACTTCAAACACGATTTTCGCGGACATAAAATAAAACGGCGATTGAGCCGCTGTTCTCGAAATAATACCGCGTCCCTGAAGATACATATTTTTTATTACAGGCAGCTTAAGTTGGCTGAAGTGCGTCGTAAACGATATTTCGGCCAAACAATAAGGCTGGCGTCAATAAAACTAATAACCGTGAAAGCAACTTTAAATTTAACTTAAGGTTTTGTTCGCACTTAAAAACATGGAATTTGAAAAGGAAATAAAAACATAAAATATCTTTTATATTAAGATAAGAAAAAAAAAAAAAAAACAAAAATGCAAGAAACTTGCCAACGCAAATGAAGTGCGAATTTTACCAGTTTCAAATGTAGTGGCTTAGCCCCTTGCACTATGTAAATGCACCGGTCATGTTTCGATGTACACGTGCACTTTAAGCTGCACTTTAAGCTGCACTTTTAGCTGCACTTCAATGGAGCACGGCCGCGTCATATGATTGGCTTGAAATAAAATGTGACCAATAAAAATGTTTCATATATAATATTTGAATGATCGAGTGTGTTCTCAATGCTTTCAAAGTTCAGCTTTTTATTTTTATTTATTTAATTTTACTATTTGAGTTCGTTTAATTTTATTTATTTTAATGTAGCCGTAAAATAATAAAAAATTAAATTCAGTTATAAAGAGAAGAATCTCCACAGTATCTAAACGTGTTTATCATAAAATAATACAAAAACCTCAAGTGATCTGTACTGGTCTGTGTGAGTCTAACTTGAAATTGTGATACGTTAATTAAGTCTAAATAACTTAAGTATTACTTAAATTCTACTAAATCTTGAACAACTACCAATAAATCTAAATGCTCGTCTCTCACCTGTGTGTGGCATACTCCAAGTTTTCACTGGTCGGTTTGGGATTGCGACGGTTTGTTTAACTGTCAGCGTATAGCGTATCCAAGTGTGTCACTCGCTAGTTCGGCCACTTCGTCGCTCAGTTTCACAGCTGCTCAGCTTGCCGGTTGCTGTAGTTTCAGCGATTCTACCGATTCAACCGCTTCAACTGAGCAAAGTTACAAATTTAATGGGCTTTAATCGCTGTGTTTTTATCAAAAAATGTAATAAAATTAGTGAAGTTTTATGGCGGAGTTTATGACTGATGCCGTCCGAACTGAAATCAGTTACTAATACTGGAACCGTAATGCGCTCTTCTTACTTCGCAAACGTCTGTGTATTCGAAACAATCCGGCAATGTTGCTCACCAAATTTGTATATGACTTTTAATTTACGTTTTTTCCACGAATTTTTTCCGATTTTTTTTTTTTTGGTATCTACAATTAGAAATGAAATGTTTTTTTAAAAGATCAGAAAATGTTTGATACAAATAATCAGCAATTAAGAGTTTTTAATTATAGTTTTTTGTTATTGTAGAAATAGTTTCTGAAAAATTTATCGACTTATAAGAAAACAAGAGAATATCATATTACACAAATTTAAATAAAGCACAAATCTATCATATAAAATTCAATACTTATCGATCCATTTTTGTTTTAACTTTTATTTAAACCGAAAATTTCAAATACTGTTTTTTTTTTAACTGTGTAAATGTAAATAAATGTGTAAAAAATTTATTTATTATATAAATCATTCAAAAGATACCTTACTCAACTTGAACGATTAAAAATGAACACGATAATTAAAGGAGGTCTTGAATTCAAAGGGTGCCTTACACAACTCCACACTAACGATTAAAAATGAACACGATAATTAAATGAGGTCTTCGATTAATGATAAGGAGGTTTTCGTTAAGTGATATCGTACACCATTTTAACTAAATAATAATAACAATTTTTTGTACATATAGTTTACCACAAAAAATTCAATCATTATATAAATGCATGTCATTTTCCTTATTTGGAAATTCGATTTCGAATACAGGTGATCATATCACATTATAAGTATAATTTTAAAAATACATTGGACTATTTGTCGTTTAAAAGACATACAAAATATCAGCAATACTTAAATTAGTCAGTGAGATGGGCGGGACTCTGCAGAATCCCCCAGCTATCATAGAGTAAAAGTGCCCAGATGCACTAACTCGGAAAAGGCTTAACATAACATAACAAGTTTTTATATACGCAAAGTTATAAATTTATGATTATTTCTGAATATTCCTCCCTTTTTCTGGTCGCATCTATAAGGTTACTAATATTTTGCATTCAGTTCCCTTGTTTAATATTTTTTAAGAAAGAAAATTTTTTTCACCCAATTTTGCGTTTTCCTTCGATTTTGCCTTGTATGATTAATTGTACCATGCATATCATATTATTATTATGCTCAAGCTATTTGAGCCAGTGCACTTGAGCATTTTTACCCCTTTTATACCTTGACTGGATTATTGTCTATCACTCTATCAGACTAAGCAACAATTGATCTCTGATCTGCATACCTCCCCGAGGAGCTTGTAACCATTCTGAGATTTGATAACGCTATGTTGATAAGTCTGTCAGTTTTCGGAAATAATTTCAGGGCTCTATTCTTTATGTATTTTTTGATGGGATCAATCTTGAGGTCCATAAAGATGTCATTCGTTCTAATGTACCATGGTACTTTAAAAAGTCTTCTCAGACCCTGGCTTTGTGCAATTTCTAGCTGGCGAATAGTAGTATTTTAAGCTTTGCTAAACGCCACACAACCATATAGAAGTGACGTTCAAACTATTTGGTTATATATCAGTTTTTTGTTCTTAGCATTGAGATTTTTATTTCTGAATAGCATATCATATGTTGTATATATTTATAACAAGTTATTTTTTTCGTGAGCTTGATTTGACAGCACTGTTTCAGTTGCAGAGGTATGTCAAACAGAACTACCATTCAATATATCATGCATTTAGCTATATTTTTGCCACCTTATAACATGAATCGTTTAACAATGTCGATTGCGTTATCGAACGACTATATTCACAATAAGTCAGAATTGGAATATGGTCTTAACAAACAATCATATATATGCGGACAATACTCAAATTCTCGATATTTCAAAAACAAACTTTTATTAAGTAATGACCCAGCTAATATCCGCTATATGTCAACAAGTTATTACAAATTACCTCAATAAGATCTAGTACTGTGATCCAGATGTCCTGTGAAAGTTCAAACAAAATTTCAAGTATACAAGCATATACAAGTATGTTTCATTTTCGTTTAATTTTGGGACCACAAAAGTAATAATCTTGTATTAAAAAAATTACCAGAAAGTCTTTTTATGTCAATTTTTAATTGAAGACC